AAAAAAAAAAAAAAAAAAAAAAGCATAATAGCTGAGTGTAGAAGGGCACATTCTGTAGTACTTTGAGAGGGTGAGGCAGGAGAATCACAGGTTTGTGGCCAGCCTAGGCAATTTAGTGACTTAGCGAGACCTTTTGTCAGAATTTTTAAAAAACTTTTTTAAAAAGGTCTAGTAATGTAGCTCATTGTAAAGGTCTGAGTTCAATCTCTAGTACCTTAAAAAATTAAGAACATATTGAGGGAAATTTTTGAAATGCCATCCTTAGTACTGTAGCCAGAGAAAGGAGACAGCAGTATTTTTTTTTAAAGGCCAGTTTTCTGATGATTATGTTCCAAATATGTGTCTCCCTCAGGGGAGGGAGGCTTTTTGGGGGCAGTGCAGAGCTGCCAGGGCTCGCAGCTGGCTGGGTTGGCTGATGTAGCAAAATTGTCTACACAGCTAAAGTTGAGCCTCCTAAGATCTGAAGACACATTTACATTCTAACACTGGTGGGCGGGTATGCGTATACCTCCATCTCTGTACACGAGTTCATTCTTCCTCTCCCCTCTTTAATGAGAAATGTTTTCTCATAGCACAAACTTAACAGTGCTGGTGTGAGGGCCTGAGAGAGAGGCTGCTGGTTTGTGCCATTTCTAAATTTACATACATATGTGCTGCCACAAGTGTAGGTCCCAAATTTGACCTAGTTTTACTAATTTGGTTTTCTTCCAATATGTAATTTCCTTAACCTGGATTTGAATCCTTTTAATTTCCCTAACATGTGCATACGTTTGTATATCTAGTTATCGTTCTGACTCTTCTTCTAGAGGGTGAGCCTGCCATTTAATGCTTAAGATGAAGTAAAAATTGCCCCTAAACACTGGATGTGGTGGTGCTGTGGTGTGGATTTATAAATCCGAGCACTCTGGGAGGCTGAGACAGGAGGATGGCAATTTTGAGCCCAGCCTGAGCAACTTAACAAGACCCTGTCTAAAAATTAAAAAGTGCTGGGGTTGTAGCTCAGTAAAAGGCCCTGGATGATGTCTTAAATGTTCTTTCTTCTTCCTGTTTACCTGAATGGCTTTACCCACTCTTTAGAAAGAAAATGGACATAAAAACCTGAGGTCTCATTGACATCAGGGATGGGCATTTTGACACTGAATTTTTTCAACAAAATATGACAAGCTTCTATGACTTAGCCATTTGGGTCCTTCTTTAATCCTTTAGGTCTTGATGATGGATATTTATTTCCTCCTCCTCTTCCTCATCTTCCTCCTCCTCCTCCTCTTTTCCCTCTTCTTCCTCCCCCTGAGGGTTGAACCCAAGGAGAACTGAGCTGTATCCTCAGCTCTTGAAGTTGTTTGTTTGTTTGTTTGTTTGTTTTTTGAGACAAAGTCTCCCTATGTAGTTTAGTCTGCCACGGACTGGATATATAGCCCAGGCTGGCCTTGGACTCATGATCCTCCTGCCTCTGTTTCCTGAGTGCTGGGATTGCAGTCCTGCTCCACCATACTCAGCTCTTTTATAAGTTTTGTTTTGAGACTGAGTCTCACTACATTGCCTGCACTTGCTTCCAACATATGCCCCTCCTGCCTCAGCCTCCCAAGTAGCTGGGATTCCAGGCATCCACCAGCGTACCCAGCTATATATTTGTCTCTTCTACTTCTGTCCAACTTTACTGTGAGA